GTGGCCAGCCAGATTGGTCGCAGAGGGGAGCCGGGCTCTGTCGCTCGTGATCCGATGCTCCTGGAGTGTGGCAAGACAAACCCAAAGTCCCATGGCAAACCACCCTGTTCTTATACAGTAACTCCTCACTTAACATTGTAGTTATGTTCCTGAAAAATGCAACTTTAAGTGAAACGATGTTATACGAATCCAATTTTCTCATAAGATTTAATGTAAATGCGGGGGGTTAGGTTCCAAGGAAATTTTGGGGGGGCAGACAAAAGGCATTATATACTGTACAATACTGTACTGTGGTTGGGAAGTGCCCCTGGCTTACCCCACATAGGCACAGCCCGCTGCAGGCAAGGACGCTAGGAAGCACCTTCGCAGCAGCTTCCCCGGAGAAGAACAGGCTCCGACTGCCGGGAATGCTCCAGGCCCACCTCTTCCCACCCCCACTTCACCTCCTCTCCAGAGCATGCCACATCCCTTCCCCCCACAAAGTCCAAAGCTCCGCCAAACAACTGTTTGGTGGTGCTTAGGACTTTGGGGGGGGGGAAGGGGAGGAGCGGAGACGCAGTGCCGTGTCTCTGCCCCTCCACCTCCCTCCCCGAAAGTTCTAAGGGAAGAGCTGGGAGGAAGGGGGAGGAGGCGGAGAAGAGGAACTTGTGCAATATTCCCTTGTAAAGTCACTGCTGTTCCACAGAATCTTACAAGCAGGCAGCCAAACAACGTTATAAGGGAGCATTGCACAACTTTAAACGATCATGTTCCCTAATTGAGCAGCGACGTAACATTGAAACAACATTAAGCGGGATGACATTAAATGAGGAGTTACTGTAGTCTTTTTTTCTCTGTTGAGGTCTATGGATTTTGCTGTGTCAGTCTCTGTTATCTTCTGATGTAAACATTCCAATACATTTCCGAGAGGGTCATCCTGTCCTGGTTTCAATTCAGTTAATTTGTTTTGTCCTTAGGGGTGCCAGCCTCATCTCAGGGTCGTCAATCTGCCCTTCCTTCATTATGGATATACATTGATGGTTCTCTGGTGTAGTTAAGTCTCTTCACTCCTTCCTTGACCATCTGACTATAACAATGGCCTTCACATCTTATCTTTTCCTGATACATACATTCCTCATTCACACAAACAATCTTTTACAGAGACCTTCAAAGGTATACAGCAGTTTTTATGTTGAGCAAGAAAAGTCATTGTAAATTAAGCCTTCCTAAATCTTATAATCAAAACAATTTACATTGGGGCCCAGGCCTTCAACATTCCTCTAATCTCCTTAACATAGACACAATACAAGATCCTGTCTCTTACTTTCTAAACCTTAAAACAAAGAAATGTATATTTAACTAGAGTGCCTAATTTGTAATACATATAGGAAACCATAGTAGACATTATAACTTATCCTAAAACAAAAGGGTGACCATAATCAGTCAGAAGGATTGTTTTGGTCTGTCATTCCTTTCTACTATTCAAAAAGGGTGGCTGGCAGGATGAAATCAAATCATACATTAATTCTCATAGTACAATTATAAAATCCTGCCCCTACACACATGACAGACTTTAGCTGCTTTGTGACTGGCTCCCCTGAAGTGCTGGATCGTTAGTGCCAGGCTGCCAGCAAACAGTTTAGAGAGGTTTGAAGAGAGGGAGGGGAGAATTTCCCTCAATTCCTCCTACAAGTAAATCTCTTTAAAAACCAAGTGCAACTCTATTTTGAAGAGGAAAATGTTATTAGTATATAACAGATGTCAAATGTGTTTGGATAGAGCTAGAAGAGTGAAGTAACGGCATCATCCCCAACTTTTAGATAGGGATGTCAGCCTCTTCTTGAAAAAAAAGTGTGTAGCTAGAATAATAAAGAAGAGAATGTTAAAGAAAAAAGGGAGGTAAAGGATGTTTTTGTACTTAGAGTATCTTTCATTTTTTTCTACAGTTTAATAAGTTTATTTTAAAACATCTAAAAATTACTCAGCATAACATTCTAACTTCTCTGCAGGGGGGCTTGAACTGTCAACATGCTTCACCCATTCCAGATGAGCTCATTCTTTCCCCATATCTGGTGCAGCCAGATTTGGAGCATAAGTTGTTTTTGTTTGTGTTCAAAACCTGGAAAAGTATTTCATGACATTGACACTACCGATCTGTGCTGGGACAATGAAAACTTGAAACGCACATTGTTTTGTTTGAGGCACTATTTGGTGTTCACATTTTTAGGGTTGTTAGTTCTGTGTTACTACCAGCCCGTTATTATTTTGCCATCTTTGAATAGCAATTGAAATGATTTTTAAAGTATTTCTCAGAGTAGTTTGAATTGTGTTATAGCACTATGCACTAGCTCTCTGATCTGAGTAGAAATCAAAAGCCAGTATCATCAAGCAGTCCCAAAAGGGAGATGTAGTTCTAAACCAGGAGTGGGCAAACTTTTTGTCCCGAGGACCACATTGGGGTTGCAAAACTGGATGAAGGGCCGGGTAGGGAAAGCTGTGCCTCCCCAAACAGCCTGGCCCCCGCCCCCTATCTGACCCCTCCCACTTCCCACCCCCTGACTGCTCCCCTCAGAACCCCCGACCCATCCAACCCCACCCTGCTCCTTGTCCCCTAACTGCCCCCTCTTGGGACCCCCGGCCCTAATCGCACCCTGGGACCCCACCCCCTATCCAACCCCCCTGCTTCCAGTCCCCTGATGCCCCAACCCCATCCACCCCCTGCCCCCTGACAGGCCCCCTGGGACTCTCATGCTTATCCAACCCCCCCATCCTGCGACTGCTCCCCAGAATCTCCACCCCATCCAACCTTTCCATGCTCCCTGACTGCCCCCTGGAACTCCCCACCCCTTATCCAATCCCCCAGCCCCGGCCCCCTTACCATGCTGCTCAGAACAGAATGTCTGGCAGCCGTACCACCTGGCTGGAGCCAGACACGCTGCCGCTCTGCTCGGCAGGAGCTCTCAGTGGCGGGGCTGCGTGCGCTGCCCATGCGGCAACGTGGCTGCAGGGGAAGGGGGAGAATGTGGGAGGGGCTGGGGGCTAGCCTCCCCGGCCGGGAGCTCAAGGGCCAGGCAGAACGGTCCCACGGGCCTTAGTTTGCCCACCTCTGTTGTAAACTCATGTTTGTGTCACAGTCTCGTCTTACTGCTAAAGATGGTTCTTCCAGCTGTGGGTTTGAGCCATTTTGGTGTTGTGGGGAAAGGGTACCTATCATTCAGTAGACAAATGGAGAACTTCAGTCTCCCTGGCTGAGAGGTATGATCACTATTACTCACAACAAAGTAAAGTGACTGAGCTTGGGTCTGGAACTCAGATCTCACCACTGCAATGCATGATGCTACCACTTGGCCACTAAACCTCTTATTTATTTGTTATATTTTTTTAAAGACCCAAAGCCCTTAAAAGTATATGACTCTAGCAGAGGAGGACATTGGAAATCATAAGAACATAAGAATGGCCATAGTGGGTCAGACCAAAGGTCTATCCAGCCTAGTATCCTGTCTTCTAATAGTGGCCAATGCCAGGTGCCCCAGAGGGAATGAACAGAACAGGTAATCATCAAGTGATGCATGTCCTGTTGCTCATTCCCAGCTTTTGGCAAACAGATGCTAGGGACACCATCCGTGCCCATCCTGGCTAATAGCCATTGATAGACCTATCCTCCATGAATGTATCTAGTTCTTTTTTTAACCCTGTTATATCTTGGCCTTCACAACATCCTCTGGCAAGGAGTTCCACAGGTTGACTGTGTGTTGTGTGAAAAAATACTTCCTTTTGTTTGTTTTAAACCTGCTGCCTATTAATTTGGTGACACCCTCAGTTCTTGTGTTATGAGGAGTAAATAACACTTCCTTATTTACTTTCTCCACACCAGTCATGATTTTATAGACCTCTATTGTATCCCCCCTTAGTCATCTCTTTTCCAACCTGAAAAGTCCCAGTCTTATTAATCTATGGCAGCTGTTCCATACGCATAATCATTTTTGTATCTCTGCATTACTTTCTACCTTAGTCTTTTAATCAATCCATCCCTGTCCAGATATTATCCACTATATAATTAAACTACATTTTCAAAGCAGAATGAACATACAAGAGTAAAACTGGATTCACCACCTCCTTTGCACCACCTGAGCAAAGTGTACTGGTGCTTCGGAACCTTAATTTATAATTGACCTACTATTTTAGAGGGTTGTTTTACTGAGACCAGCCCTTTTGGGGAGGACAGTTTCTGAGTCTCAATTAGGCTGACAAGACATCCTGGTATTAGGGTCTCTCTCTTATACACCCAACTATAACCCTTCTCTCAAAAAAGTCCCGCTTTCTCACATTTGCTATCTGGTCACCCTCATCTCACTGCCTGTGTTTTAAGCACTCCACCTGCATTCCTACCTCAGTTTCCCCACCAGTGCTGGCTCCACGCACAAGCTAGCAGGCAGCAGGGTGACCAGATGTCCCGATTTTTATAGGGACAGTCCTGATTTTTGGCTCTTTTTCTTATATAGGCTCCTATTACCCCCCCCCATCCCCTGTCCTGATTTTTCACACTTGCTGTCTGGTCACCCTAGCAGGCAGCCAAATCTTTACCCAGCCGTAACAGTTGGGTCAAGTAATGTGGGGATAGGAAGGAACGGTTAATGCATGTGTCCGATCAAACTCAGACCAGAGTCATTCCAACCAATCGAACTCCCTCATGCAAATAAACAGTACAGCAAAGGTGGGGGGTTGGCTGTGCTACCTCTGACGTCATCAGGGGCTCCACTAAAGTTACCTGAGCCGACCGGGGCTATAAGTAACTATAGACTCAGCGCGGCTCCCAACGACAGTCTATGACTTTAGTTACGCCTGCGCACAAGGCTGCCAGCCTGGGGAACTCCGGGGAGAGTCTGGCGGCTCCCCCTCCCCGATCGGGGGAAGAAGCGTGGCCTGGGCGCTGCGGGACCCACCCGCCGCACTGGGAGCCGGGGCTGCGGCTGGACGCCAGCGGGAGCAGTGCGCGGGGCTGCCGCGAGAGCTCGCTGGGGACTTGACTCCTGCGGGACGCCAGGGAAAGGGGCGGCCCTTCCCGGCGGGGCCGCCATGCTGCGAGCCCTGCTGCGGCGCTGGGCGTCCTACAGGTACCGCTTCGTGCCCTGGATCGCGCTGCACCTCCGCCACAAGCGCAGGTGAGGGGGCCGGGGGCCCGCGCTCCCCAGCCAGGCCCAGCGCCCCGGGAATGAGGGGGGAGTTTGTCCCCGGGAAGCCGCCTGCAATGGAAACAAACCGGCCCCGGCTGCAGAGCGCGCGACCGAAACGCAGCGGTTCTGCTAGAGGGCCCTTAATCCTCTCGGCTGCTGCTGACCGCCACCTGATCCCATCAGATCCCATTCCCAGCCCGGGCTGTGTGGAGGTAAACGCGGGGATCGGCTTCTCTCTTGCCTCCCCCAAATCGACATCATACAAGTGCGGCTCGGCAGTGAGTTTATGCCTCAGGTATTTGCAGATCCAGTCTGGTTTGTCATCCCAGCAAATGTGGTATCTGCCCAAGAACTGGTTTCATTGCTTCTAGGCAGCGTCGCCAATAATAAGTAGGGGGACAAGGCAATAGGAACTCAGTTCCTATGTCACTGCAGGCGTCAGCATCGGAGATTCCAGCTCCCCCTCCTGTAGCTTTCTTAGGGCATGGCTACACTTGCAGATGTAGAGCGCTTTGAGTTAAACCCGCCTTCGTAGAGCATAGTAGGGAAAGCGCTGCAATCTGTCCACACTGACAGCTACCAGCACACTGGTGTGGCCACATTAGCAGCTCTTGCAATGGCCACAGAGAGCAGTGCATTGTGGTAGCTATCCCAGAATGCAAGTGGCTGCAATGTGCTTTTCAAATTGGGCGGGGGGGGGAGTGGAGTGTGACAGGGAGTGTGTTGTGTGTATGTGGGAGAGAGAGTGGGTTTTGGAGGGGCTGAGAGCATGTCAGTATGCTGTCTTGTAAGTTCAGACAGTAGCAGACCCCCCCGCAGACCCCGCCTCTCTCTCTCACATGCAGAGCATTCCACAGTAATGGTTGCTTTGTCTCGGAGCAGATAAGCATGCAGGCTGTCAAACGGAGCTGTCAAAGGGCATATCCAAAACAACAACAAGAGTGGCCACTTGACTTAAGGGGATTATGGGATGTTTCTGGAGGCTGATCAGAGCACAGTAATGCAACACCTTGTTCACACTGACTCTGGGGCGCTCCAGTGGGGACGCATCAAACGTTATTCTACTCACCGAGGTAGAGTACCAGCAGCGCTGTAGCTGCGGAGTCAGAGGGCTCTACGTGCCTTGCCAGCGTGAACGGGTAGTGAGCTAGTGCGCCCGGGGATCCTTTAATGCGCTGTAACTCGTAAGTGTAGCCAAGCCCTTAGTTCTGCAGCGGTGACAGGAATAAAACGTAGTAAGAATATATTTTACTCTGTAACATATAAAGCTGAATACACAGAGGCTGAAATCCTGCCCCCATTGAAAACAGTGGCAAAATTTCCTTTGATTTTAATAGGAGCAAGATTTCACACACAGAGCAGGACACTTAACTAGTAAGTTTCTTTTTCCATATTAGCTTTTCAGGGGGGTAGAGCTGCGTTTTAAGGACTATACAAGATCCAAGTCTTGATGCCTGCCCGATGATCCAAATGGAAGCTTAGAGTAACATTTTCAAAAGTATCTAAGTGATTTAGGACCTCAAGTCTCCTTTTCAATGCGACTTAGGTTCTTAAGTGCCCAAATCCATTTTTTAAAATGAGATTTGGCCTTCAAAGTCACTTAGGTGGTTTTGAAAAGTTTCTTGTCTTAATTTTTTATATAGTGAGCGTGACATGATTTTACTGATGGCTAAATTATCTGTCCCCTGATCCATATGTTCAGTGCACTAAAAAGTTATTTTCTTTTTTCCTTTCTTCTGTCTGCTTGATCACATTGTTTACTACCAATATTGCCACATGCTATTTACCTCAGTCTGCTGCTCTGAGATCTTACATCTTACCCTCTTCTCCCAGTGTCCCCTACACATTTTAAAAATCAAGGAATATACTTTCAAAGAGGTACAGTATCAAACTGTGGAATAGTCTTCCAAGGGAAGTGGTAGATTTGTTTGAGCCATTAAATCTAGAGTGAAGAAAGCATTTGAGAATGTACAGTAGGGAACAATTCTGCAATGGCGGGAGTTTGGATTAGATGGTCAAATAGGTCTTCTAATTTTTGTAATGAACAACAGAAGCCCTGGAGTGAATACAACATTAAATTGATTATCTGATGGAACTAATAAGTATCTCAAGCCAAGTTCTTGTCATTTAATGATCTCAGCAGAGCTCGTCTAATGAATCATGTCATTACAATCATTCCTGGGCTGTCTATTATTGCAGTGGTTTTCAAAGTGCGGATCGCGACCCAGTACTGGGTCGCGGAATGGAAGGCACTGGGTTGCGGCGGCTCTGGTCAGCACCACCAACCGGGACGTTAAAAGTCCTGTCCGCAATGCTGCCCAGTTTAGGCAGGCTAGCCCCTACCTGGTCTGACACCGCTCTGCGCCCCAGAAGTGGCCAGCAGCAGGTCCGGCTCCTAGGCGAGGGGGCCACGGGGCTCCACGTGCTGCCCCCGCCCCAAACCCTGGCTCAACACTCCCATTGACCCCCTCCCGCAACGCAACCCCGAGCCCTGTCCCACACCCAGAACCCCTCATTCCCGCCGCAGCCCTCACCCCCATCCCCCAAACCTCTGCCCCAGCCCTGAGTCCCTCTCAAACCCCTCATCCCCAGCTCCATTGAGTCAGGGGCATCAACAATTTTCTTCAACTGGGTTGCGAGAAAAAAAGTTTGAAAACCACTATATTATTGTATGCTTGTATACTTATGCAGGATGTCTTAACTTAGCAGAAAATGTAGCTTTATAACAACGTCTTACTGATCTTACCATATTACAGAATCCAATTCTGAATAAAGTCGAAAACTAGAAGCGTAAGATTGTAGATTCTAATCTTGCTATTCTCACACCTTTGTAAAAGAAAAGTCAAAAAGTAACTACGAAATCAAAGAGTTTTCGTGTCATCAATTTTAAGTGTTCAACCTAGTAGCTGAAAAAGTTTGGAAATTGTTGTTCTTGGGTTTTATTTATGCTCTAAAATTCTTTCTTAACAGCCATTTCAGGTGGGACTAGATGAGAATGAGACATCAAAAATTTTCAGAAGTGTCCAAGTGACTTAGACAGGTAAGTCCCATTTTCAAAAGTGACTTAGGCACCTAAGGTGAGATTCACAAGGTGGACTTTAGTGTCCTCTGCCACTTTAGGCTCCTAAATCCAAAATTTAGATCCTCAGAAACACCCTCAGCCGTGGCCTAACCCTGTAGGCACTGAAGTTTCCATGGTTTTTTGTGACAAAGGGCTTATCTGGTTTAGACACCTGACTTTAGGAGAAGGTTCATGGCTGTGAATCCTGAGTGGAGAGAGGAGCCTCCCTTTAGCCCAGAGTTAGGCTATGTCTACGCAGGCAATTGAACAAAACTTTTGTCTTTCAGAGGTGTTAACCCCCCCACCTCCAAAAGACAAAAGTTTTGCCGCAACAAGTGCCAGTGTGAACAGCGTGTTGTCGGCAGAAGAGCCAACCAACAGCGGCTACACTGCGCGACTTGTAGCGACACGGCTGTGGCGACACTGCCATGTTGCTAAAAGCTGTGTAGTATGGACATAACGGTAGACATCTAACTCCCTTTGAGGGGCTGGCCGTAGGCCACACCTCTCCCCATAGTTTTTCTTAATGGCTCGTTTGGGTGGCTCCCCATTTAGCACAGTGGTTTCTGTTAATTCCTTCTTAGGTGCCTACCTGTCCCCATGCATTGTATAGGGAGCCCGGCCACCTCGCTCAGGGCTATGAATCCCACTTGGCAGCGGGGGCCACTAGGTACTGCAAATGCTCAGCCTAAGTCCTTCTTTTGAATATCACCCTTAGGAACCTAACTTTCTCACTGACTTTCAATGAGATTAAGGCTCCTAAGCACCTATGTCTCTTTAGAAAATGGGACTTAGGCTCCTTTGTAATTCAGGTATTTTTGGAAATTTTAACCATCGTTTGCATCAAAATTTAAACCAGTCTTTTTAACAATGCTATAACCAATGCACAAAAGTAGTCAGATGAGTAATATTTCTTTTTAAATTCTACAAGATCAATCGGGCCTCTTTTTAATAGTAAAATTACTTTATATTAACTAATTGAATGTTGTTCTAAGAAATATATATTAGAGCCTCACTAATCAGCACACTGTTTAATCTGCATAGCAACTGTTACTTTCTTCACCACTTAGCACAGGTATAATGAGCAATGTATTGTAATGAGGTATCATTAAGATTCAAAGCTTGCATAGGCCATCGGCCTGCATTTTCAAAAATGCATGTACAATTCAAGGTTGCATATGCATGAAAGAATATCCTTTTGTATTGCTTGTTTCAGCCATGTAACGTAAAAGCAATTTTTGTTGCCATACAATTTCTAACTGTCAGTTCTTATAGGAAAACTTGATGCTAGAATATTTTTTCTCTTCTGCCATAGGACCATCCGATACGTACCAGAAAAGTCCAAAGACAAAATTATCTCTGATGAAGATGTCCTTGAAACACTGCTGAAAATCTTTAAAGCTCTGTTCATAAATAACTTTAGTAGACAAATGGACTTCCTTGCCTTACTTCCAGAAGTTAAATCCGAATATCTGAAATTACTGACTATTCAGTATAAGAGATCAAAAACAACTGGTTACAACCATCAAAGTCAAAATATCTTTAATCCAGAAGAAGTTCTGTTTAATACATTAGGGTTCAGTATTACTCGAGATCGGAGTTCACTGATTTCTGCTGGAACAGGAGTCTTTGTTACCAAAGGTTTTGTGCCAAAAGGGGCCGTTGTATCTATGTATCCTGGTAATGAAACACTTTTTGTCACTTTTCCAAATAAGTTAAACATGATTTCTAACTATGTGGGTACTGATTGCATGACTGAATTGGTATCTCAATTTTAACTTTTTTAGCATTTTAACTTTGATACCTTGCCAAAAATCACAGGTTAATATTTGTAAAGGTTTTTCCACGTGTAAACTGATTTGGAGAGCTTTTGGTGACAAGAAAAAAAGATATTTCATGTTCCGAGTACCCAAGATCTGGTTTGAATTGGTAGAAAATTTGTCCCTGATTTCTGTAAGCACTAATGCACATGAGTAATTTTATGCATGTGAGCAATCCCATGTAATTCAGTGAACCAGCTCATGTTCATAAAGTTGTTCATATGCATAAGTGTTTGCAGGATTGAGTCTATTAATCTCTCTATCGATATCAGTGGGCAATATAGAAAATTTTCACAGCACAAAGATATTTATAAAATTAAGAATGAAAGTAGAATGTACAAGACCAGAATAGGGGAAAAATGGGACTTCTTACTTTGCTCCGACTCCTTGTCTCTTGGAGTGTCATTAGCTTACTTTGCTTAACAACATTTTTAATTCTGTTAGCACTTCAGAGCCATTACAGCTGTCTGAGAGCAAGCTGAATTCTGTTCTGCTGTGAACATCAACACAACCACCAGTTAAATTCTTAATGCAGAATATTTATTGTGATTGGTGATGTAAGAGGCAGAAATCCATAATCAAACCCCAGGATGAGTTTGAGTTGGCAGTTAGGAACATCAGCCTAAATTTTCATCTCTTGTTGGGACCATTTGTTCTTCTCTGATGGTAGAATCTGGATTTAGCTGGGTAGCTGAGAATTACCCTGCTGTAGTTGAATTCTCACCTAGTATAAAGTGGTATAGCCAGTTCTGTAGCCAACTGCTCCCCCCAGTGGAGATACAGGGAAGGAGAGCAGGGCAGAGTGGAGTATGCATGGGCTACACCTATTCTGTGTCTCAGTTGGTTTATGGTCCTGACCTAGAGAGACGATAGAGCAGCTTCTAAGCTCTAAGATGGTGGCACAGATGTACCATGAGAGGGCAACTGCTGGACTGGGGAAACATCAGACCAGTGCAGTTCTGTCCTTTCAAAATTATTAATAGCAGTTTATTCTTATCCCTCTGCCACCTTTGGCCTCTGTCTGGGAGGCTGGATCATGACTACTAACCCCATTTTGACACTCTTATTTATTGTCTTCTAAAATAACAATGTCTGTCTTACAACAGGTACAGTATATCAAAAGTATGAGCCCATCTTTTTCCAGTCCATTGGCAATCCATTTATTTTTAGATGCATAGATGGTGTACTTATTGATGGGAATGATAAAGGAATATCAAAAGCGGTGTACAGGTAAGCAATCAAAAGAAATAGGAGAACAAAAATCAGTTCCCGTATTGAAAGGTATTATAGTTATCTAATCACATTGTTATCTGAAACCAAAAGTATTTGGATTTATCTGACTTACCAAATAAAATAAGTATCATGTATTGTAATATAAGTTGCAGTGCAGTCAGTCTGTTCTCTTGTAATGAGGCTGGAAGCTATTGGCTGTGATATATTAATATCATGTCGTGTGTCAGTCTGTACATTTGTCCAGACCCACTTTGCTGAAAACTGATGCTTAAATAGCTGTGATTTTTTTTTTTATAAGGAAAATATGCTTAAAGCTAGGTCTGATTCCGTATAAAGTTGTAAAAGTATATTTTTAGGTTTCTAATTAAATCTGGTTGAGGGAAAGAAAAGAAAATATTTCCATATCACGGAGCATGAACTCTGTGGTACCAAGGGGCATATTATCTAGCCCTAACTTGCCTTTAAAAAGCATCGAATAAAGCAGGACTGCAGAAGAGTAAGTCTGTACTTGGAGTAGCCTAGGGGCTAACATGCACTTTACCAAATTTTAGTTTCCAGGGAAATTCAGTTTACAGCAACATCTGTGCAGAATGTAAACGTCACACATCCAAAATAGAATTAACAATAACGACCAGGAAACAACCTGAAAGGACAGTCCCCTTGTATCTAGTTTGGGTTCTGGGAACAAGACTGAGGCTTACCTTGTAGTGGCCCTTCTCCACGCAGCCCAAAAGGGAAATTAAATGTAATGATATTTCTTTAAAGATAGTGTGTTTGGGGGTATTTTTTGCTTATTGTAAGAATGCCCTCTTTTCAGCTTCTCCAGTAGATTCTGTTTTATTTAGTCCTTGGGGTTTTGATAGAAACCATATATTCCAAAGCCGGAAGGGACCTCTGTGATAATCTAGTTTGACTTCCTGCATAACACAGCTATATTGTTTAATATTCTCTTTTTAAAGGATCAGCCTCTTTTGCCTGAATGCCGATTTTATACTCTAATGAATCAGTCAAATGCTGTTGGGGAAATGTAACCTAAGTTAACTTGTGTGTATTTCCAGAAGTTGAAATAATGGTCAAAAGAAGCATCAAGAAAATAAACCTATATTTCTAGTTAATATTGTGACTCCTTTCAGATCATGCAGCAAGAGGGATCAACTTGGTCCTTTTCAAATGAGTGACATCACTTGGCTCACACCTGCTGTGCAAAATCCACTGGCAATAGGGCAGTATGTTAACAACTGTTCACACAGTAAGTTGGAAGGTAGAGTTCCTAGTCTCCAAGCTGACTTTAAATGTGGAAATGACTTTTGTTGAGGGTGGAGCACTGTAATTGATAAAGAATGGTACTCCATCCAGCAGTGACCTTTTCAAAGAGGCCCAAACACACTTGATGGTGTAGCAGAGGTTCTCAGGCTGAAATTTCCAATCATTAGTGGGAATTGGGTATCCAAATCTGCAAGGGCAGCTTTGAAAATCTAATGTTTGTAGGGTCTGTTAATGCCTAGTGGTCCTGTCCTGCTAGTCTGCAGAATTCAACATTTTGAAAACAAAAGCAGTAAACTTGGACTGTAGGGGAAAGGAAATCCGTGGACTGGTCCCTCTTATGAAGTGGTCCACAGAATGGAATAGTTGGAGAACCTCTTATTGCATAATGTTGTTACTACGTAATTCGTCTGAAAATTAATTTGGCAATCCCAATGCATGGTAAACATTTTTGAATGAAAGCTTTTTTACATCACATTTCACTTACTGACTATAAAAGGGTTTTTTGATTAAGGAAGTCTCAAATCTATATGCAACAGATGAGTCCAGCAACCTCTTTGTTAATTAATATGACTACACTGTGGGATACAGAGAGTGGGGCAACTTACCCTAATGCCCTTCCTCAGTACAAAATGTATAACTGGATCGCTCATGGGATTGGTTGTGAGATAGGAAGTGTTTCATGGTCCCCAGAGACTCTGCCTGTGAAATGAGTGGGGATCTCAGTGCATTGCCCAGGAATAGGTATCCACATCATAAATAAACCACTACACAAGTGCCACCAATGTAGGCATCCTGACCAGAGAGGCTAAGGCGTGAATGGTCCTAAAGATAGAACTAGGTATTATTGATGCTGTAAGCTCCATTCTGAACAATGCAAGCTGGGCACCCTGGTGGTCCAATGGATAACAAGAACTGCTATTTAATTAAATTAGGCTGAACTTGACCCCTGCTCAGGGGGCCAACACAAGGCCTACGCACCACTTAAGCTCTCAAAATAGGGTTTAAATGGAGCTTATGCAGTGCATAGGTCTTGTGCTGGCTCTCACCACAGGGGTGGATTTCACTCATAATGAGCACAGCTAGTACTTTTTTCAGAAGAATACTTTGCATTTACATATATAAACTGCATACCAATTTCAGTCCTGTATAAGAATTTCTTTTTTCCCCCCTTCTCCCTCCACCTCCCCCCAGACAAGGCAGCCAACGTCTGTTATCAGGAGTTTGATGTGCCTGAATATTTTCCAATAGAACTGAAACAGTATCTTCCGAACATCACCTACAGCCATGACATGCCTATGTAAGTACACGTATATGTTTTCATAGCATTCAAAAAGCCAAATTAGTCAGTGAACAAAGTTCATCCCTGCTGAGGTGAGCTACACAAAAACACAGCCCTGTTAAGAAAGAGTTAGCGTTTATAAGGGAACCTCTTTTATACCTGCACTTATCAGCGTAGCTCTGGGGATTAATTTTGTTTAGCTACTACTAGAGCTGCCAAGGAACAATTTGTGAATTCCACTGGAACAATAGTTATATTTTTGATTGTATTGTAGACAATCACAGGAGTGCCTTTAACTTTAATTCAAATGTAAATTTAAAGTTTTGGGCAATATTCCTTATCAGATTATATCCCTTTTAAAGTAGGTGATATTTAGTTCGCATCATCCTCTTAATATCCCTCTCTTCCAATTCACTCTAGATAAGAGCGCAAGCGGATGAGTTTACTAGAGGAAATCCACAATATCTTTATATTCAGGCAGATGCAATTTGAAACTACTAGAGTTACAAACTCTGGCAAAATAAAGACTGTGATAGAAAGGGCAATTGATGTGTAGCTGAATAGTCACAAAATCCTGGCTATGAACTGAGATCTTGTAAATTTATTCTTTACAAAGAATCTGGAAACATTCATTTTTTGAAATCTGAGAGAATTCACAGCAGGATGAAAACCTGAACAGATTCCAGCATCAATTCTGGTTTTGAATGCAGTTAGTTGCTAATCTGGACAAGTGGCTCGAGTGCTTCTTGATTTTAGAGATTGGAGAACCTATCACCTTCTTCAGACTTAAATATATTCTTGAATTCAAAGTTGTAGGTGGATCAGCTAAAACTTTTCATGGGGTTCTGGAGCTATTTCAGAATGCTGGTTTTTGGGGGGAGAGAGTGGTTGGCAATATCACGGAAGAGACTGTATCACTAATCTCAGACAAAAAACTTAGTTAAGGCAAAATTAAAGCTGAGAATATGTATCAGTAACTTAAGGGTAAATAAAGACTGTAGTTGAATTTCTTGGCTTTTTGTCCCCAAAGTTAAGATAACCTACAAGAAACCCAAATATTTGACAAGTGTGGAAATTCACCATAAACAGACCCAACCTACCTTACATTTACCTGCTTAGGGCTCATCTACAGTTGGAAATTACAGCAGAGATTTGACTGCCCAATTCCTATTAATTTTAAATCCTGATTCCTTCTGTGACTTTTAAAATCTCATCCTATATCATAGACTTTAAGGTCAGAAGGGACCATCATGATCATCTAGTCTGACCTCCTGCACAACACAGGCCACAGAATCTCACCCACCCACTCCTGTATCAAACCCTTAACCTATGTCTGAGCTATCAAATCGTGGTTTAAAGACTTCAAGGTGCAGAGAATTCTCCAGCAAGTGACCCCTGCCCCACACTGCAGAGGAAGACTTAAAAAAAACCAGGGCCTCTGCCAATCTACCCTGGAGGAAAATTCCTTCCTGACCCCAAATATGGTGATCAGCTAAACCCTGAGCATGTGGGCAAGACTCACCAGCCAGACACCCAGGAAAGAATTCTCTGTAGTAACTCAGATACCACCCCATCACGGGCCATAGGCATATTTACCGCTAATAGTCAAAGATCAATTAATTGCCAAAATTAGGCTATTCCATTATACCACCCCCTTCATAAACTTATCAAGCTTAGTCTTGAAGCCAGATATGTCTTTTGCCCCCACTGCTCCCCTTGGAAGGCTGTTCCAGAACTTCACTCCTCTGATGGTTAGAAACCTTCATCTAATTTCAAGTCTAACCTTCCTGATGGCAGTTTATATCCATTTGTTGTTGTGTCCACATTGGTACTGAGCTTAAATAATTCCTCTCCCTCCCTGGTATTTATCCCTCTGATATATTTATAGAGAGCAGTCCTATCTCCCCTCAGCCTTCTTTTGGTTTGGCTAAAGAAGCCAAGCTCTTTGAGTCTCCTTTCATAAGACAGGTTTTCCATTCCTTGGATCATCCTAGTAGCCCTTCTCTGTACCTGTTCCAGTTTAATTCATCCTTCTTAAACATGGGAGACCAGAACTGCACACAGTATTCCAGATGAGGTCTCACCAGTGCCTTGTATAACGGTACTAATACCTCCTTATCTCTACTGGAAATACCTCGCCTGATGCATCCCAAGACCGCATTAGCTTTTTTTCCAGCCATGTCACATTGGTGACTCATAGTCGTCCTGTGATCAACCAATACTCCGAGGTCCTTCTCCTCCTCTGTTACTTCTAAATGATGAGTCCCCAGCTTATAACAAAAATTCTTGTTATTAATTCCTAAATGCATGACCTTGCACTTTTCACTATTAAATTTCATCCTATTACTATTACTCCAGTTTACAAGGTCATCCAGATCTTCCTGTACGATATCCCGGTCCTTCTCTGTATTGGCAATACCTCCCAGTTTCGTGTCATCCGCAAACTTTATTTGCACATTTTGTGCCAAGGTCAGTAATAAAAAGACTAAATAAGATTGGTCCCAAAACCGATCCCTGAGAAACTCCACTAGTAACCTCCATCTAGCCTAACAGTTCACCTTTCAGTATGACCGGTTGTAGTCTCGCCTTTAACCATTTCATTATCCACCTTTCAGTTTTCATATTGATCCCCATCTTTTCCAATTTAGCTAATAATTCCCCATGTGGAACTGTATCAAATGCCTTACTGAAATCGAGGTAAATTAGATCCACTGCGTTTCCTTTGTTTAAAAGATCTGTTACCTTCTCAAAGAAGAAGATCAGGTTGGTTTGGCACGATCTACCTTTTGTAAAACCATGTTGTATTTTGTCCCAATTACCATTGACCGCACTGTCAACTACTTTCTCCTTCAAAATTCTTTCCAAGACCTTGCATACTATAGATGTCAAATTAACAAGCCTGTAGTTACCCGGATCACTTTTTTTCCTTTCTTAAAAATAGGAACTATGTTAGCACTTATCCAGTCATATGGTACAACCCCTGAGTTTACAGATTCATTAAAAATTCTTGATAATGGGCTTGGAATTTCATGTGCCAGTTCCTTTAATATTCTTGGATGAAAATTATCTGCCCCTCCCCCCCCCCAATTTAGTCCCATTAAGCTGTTCGAGTTTGGCTTCTACCTTGGATGTGGTAATATCTACCTCCATATCCTCATTCCCATTTGTCATCCTACCATTATTCCTAAGCTTCTCATTAAAGACTGAGGCAAAGTATTTGTTTAGATATTGGGCCATGCCTAGATTATCCTTAACCTCCACTCCATCCTCAGTGTTTAGCGGTCCCACTTCTTTCTTTGTTTTCTTATTTATATGGCTATAGAATCTTTTACTATTGGTTTTAATTCCCTTTGCAAGGTCTAACTCTACATGGCATTTGGCCTTTCTCATTTTATCCCTACGTGTTCTGACCTCAATAAGGTACATTTCCTTGCTGACCCCTCCCATCTTCCACTCCTTGTAGGCTTTCTGCTTTTTCTTAATCACCTCTCTGAGATGCTTGCTTATCCAGCTTGGTCTACAATTCCAGCCTATGAATTTTTTCCCCTTTCTTGGGATGCAGGCTTCTAATAGTTTCTGCAACCTTGACTTGAAGTAATTCCAGGCCGCCTCTGCCTTTAGATCCACAAGTTCTTCAGTCCAATCCACTTCCCTAACTAATTTCTTTAATTTTTTTAAGTTAGCCCTTTTGAAATCAAAAACCCTAGTCACAGATCTATTTTTGTTTATCCTTCCATTTAGTTTGAACTGAATTAGCTCATGATCACTCGAACCAAGGTTGTCCCCTACAACCATTTCTTCTATGAGGTCCTCACCAAAATCAAATCTAAAATGGCATCCCCTCTTGTTGGTTCAGCAACTACTTGGTGAAGGAATCCATCAGCTATCACATCCAGGAAAATCTGAGCCCTATTATTACTACTAGCACTTGTCCTCCAGTCTATATCTGGGAAGTTAGAGTCTCCCATGATCACACAATTCCCATTAGTATTTACTTCATTAATGAGGTCTCTATCCATATCTAAATCAGATCCTAGTGGTCTATAGCACACCCCAAGCACTATCCCATGGGAGGCTCTAGTAGCTTTCTTCCCCAGTATGATTTTTGCCCAGACACTCTGTCTTATCCATTCCATCACTTCTTATTTCTTTACAGTCTACCTCATCATTGATATACAATGCTGCTACACCACCTTTGCTTTTATTTCTGTCTTTCCTAAATGGCACATACCCTTCAATACCTGTACTCCAGTCATGACTACTATTCCACCATGTTTCTGTTATCCCTGTATCATCTAGTTTCACTTTCTGCACCAGTAACTCTAGTTCCTCCATTTTGTTACTTAGACTCCTCGCATTGGTCTACAAACATCTTAATTTTTGCTGTTTGGCTTCGCTCACATTCTTTACCCAATTAGGCACAGACATTCTACCACCAGTATCACTATTAGACTGGTATCTACACTACCCTTCCTCCTTATGTCCATTCTCCTTCCCACGGCTGTATCCTTTCTTACTTTGTTTTCTTCCCTCTCAATGTTAAAATCTGGCGTGGAGATTACCTGGACATCGCCCAACCATCTCCCTCAAATTCCTAGTTTAAAGCTCTCTTAATTAGTTGGGTGCCAGCCTCCAACCTAGAAATCTATTTCCCTCCCTACTCAGGTGAAGTCCATCCTGAGACAATAGTCCTCAGTCCTCTGGCCTCCCAGTGGCCATACTTCGCAAAGCCCTCCTTATAGCACCACTGCCTGAGCCACCTGTTGATGGTCATAATCTTGTCACACCTTTGTTGCCCTTTTCTAGGAACAGGCAGAATCCCACTGAAGATCACCTGAGCCTCAATTTCCTTAACCATCTTCCCCAGCCTGGCATAATCTCCCTTGATATGTTCCAGCGAGAATCTAGCTGTATCATTTGTTCCCACATGAAGGACAATCAGTGGATTCTTTCCCGCTCCCATTAGGATCCTCTTCAACCTCAGGTCCACATCCCGTATCTTAGCACCCGGCAGACAG